CTTGATATCTAATAACAAATAGATAATTCCTTGAATTCATTTATAATATCTCAACAAATTCCTTCTGGATAATAATTTTTTAGGTCCTCTGCTTGGGCAGATTTCTTCTTTCAATCTGTACAACTGGTCCGTTTTAATTAATTGCTTTTCACATCTGGGCCTAAAATGTATATATTTTGAAAATGGTTAAATGGCGTATACATACATGAAATAAAGGTACCAATCTCCGTGCTTAATTATTTTTTTTTATCTGAAACAATGACGTGGCTATAGGCATTGCTGTTTTGCATCACTGTACATATCTTGAAAAAGCAATGTCATCTTTGTATAAGACATTAAATTTTCAACAGTGATGGCAGAAGCAATGGAAGCCATGACAATCATTCCATTTCAAACTAATTTGTATGTGTTTCTTCAGCTACCCCAGCTTTTGCTTCACTTGTTTTCAGGCTGACCATCCAAAGACCAGACCATGTTCATAAAGTAGGTTTGGCTTCAGTGTCCTCTGCTTGCTTTCCTCAATGAAATCACGTGCCTGGGGCCCAAAGGCGTGGGATATGAAACTTCATGGCCAATCGGCCGTGTTTTACAGCTTTGGATTCAGTCATAGCTGTCACACTGTCATAGGCTCATGCTGTTCTGCTCTTGAGATGTATTATGTATTTATCTCTGATTCAAACCACATTCCCTAAACAATGATAAATACATTTTGGGTGGTCAATAAATACTAATCACAGCTTTTTTTCATGAACATACCAGATATATAATAAATAAGGCAATCTATAATCATGAAGGATGAAAATTTGGGGGGATCAAGATGAGATACTGTGATAGATGCTGTGTTTATGTTTTGTGCCAATGTCCTCATAAGTCTTAGCAACATCTGGTAATTAGAGAAACTCTTCTCCAGTCAGCTGTCATCAAGTGTTGACAATCAACCCTTACCTGTATTTGCTACTAAGTGATTTAACAATTAGGCTCACTAAACACAGTGAGAAACTTTAAAAAGAAAAGGAAGTATCTCAGGTTCTTGAGGTATATGTCTCAATCTCCACTTGAATCCAGTAGCTGGGTTATGACAAGCATCAGTAGCAATATTTCTAACTCCTATGCCTCAACATTGCCACCTGCTGCTCACTCCAGGTTCAAATGAGCACATCTCAAGCCACAGACACTTCTCTGGGTGAGAAACAAGACTGATGAGCCTTGAGTAATCATCAACCCCTAACAGAATTAAAAGGTAATCAATTGTACTCCTGGAGCCACAGGGCAAAGGCAGTGGGGGAACTGTTGTCAATGTGGGCAAGTAGGGGATTATTATATTTTATTGAATTTCACAAATTGGAAAATATATTGGCTGATGGGTTTTTTTTTATGTTTTGTTCTCTGCTGTATCCCTAGCATTTAGAACAGAACCTGACACATAGCAATTGCTTGATAAATATTTACTAAATAAGTGAATACCTAAAGAAGGGTAATCATTCTTGTAGATTTACCACACTATGTATCCAACAACTTCCATAAAAGAAATTGTGACTTTTTTCTAGTAAATAATAATATTCCTATCTAGAATTGGAAGAGAGAAGAATGAATGAAAGGAAAAGGAAAAAAGGGGGAATTTCTGGATGATAGTAACCAGAAACATATGATGAAAATATGGATGAAAAAAGAAATATATATGATATGGGACACTTACTAACAACAGTCCATTATGCACATAAATTTTGACATTCTTTCCTTTTTATTTTAACAAAATTCATAAAAAAATAAAAACTGTATTTTTAAAATCATGCATTTCACTTTTTACTAAACAGATATTCAAGCTGTTCCATTCATTCATTTATATATTACCCATGATGAAAACATATTTTTTCACACTGGTATTTGACTAAAAAATTGAAAAAAAAATTGACTTGGCTTTAACCTAGCTTAAAAAAATTTGGAACAAAAGGTTGTTTGCTGAAAAAATAAATTCATTTATCCATAGTGGGATTGGTTTTCAAGGAAACAAGCTTTTTTTAAAGCTTGTTTAAAGCCGACTTCCTCTTTTTTTCCCATAGTCCTAAAATCCAGATTTGCATGTGTTGAGAGAGAAGGTCCTTCTTGGGTCTCTGGTGCTCCTACACACCTTACTGGTATGCTAAGAATGTATGACTTTGACCCCTCTTTATCTGGGTCATTTTTCAGTATTGAGTCTGCAGCTAACTTGAGGTAATATCCTCTGAGACAAAGAGCAGGCTCGATTACTGCTTGCTATAAAACAGTGGATTCTCCAAGCTTAAAGGTTCCTCTTCTGAACACTGCCCACTGCAGGTGCAGATATTAATCTTAGCCCATCCACATTGCCCCTGTCGAAATTGGAGCTTGGGAACTGAGGTGGCCTTCTGACAATCCAGATGCTGCTTCTGTTGTAACTAAGTCTTTCAACTCTAACCCGGAAGCCATGAGTCTTCTGTCAGCATCCATAAAACTGTGACAAGTTAACATGTTAGCTTGAGAGTAGGGTAAAATTTCAGACCCCTCACAGTTCTTGAGAGCATGACTTTTTCTAAGAATGGGGATGCTTAGTGCACACAAGGCACAACAAAGTGAATTTGCAAAAGGAAAATTCAGTGCTTCAGAGATAAATAATTGATGAGGTAAATTGAAAATAACCCTTCACTAGTGTAAAAAGAAGGTTTAAACTAGAAAAAATATTTTAAGGGAGTTTGAGATTATATTAAGTTGTAAATTCAGTTCTTTATTTAAATGAGGGTTATTTATGATTATTATGTCAAAGATTAAGTGCTGAGATTTTTGTAAAATTTGGAGATTCCACAAAATAAATTAAAAAAGAACAGCAAACAAAAACATTTACAAGTCATGGAAGGATTTTTCTTTAATTTAAATGGATTTACCCACTACATAATTTCATCATCTATTATTTCTTAATAATATGGTGAAGAATTCATTTCAAGAATCATGACTAAACACCCATTTTCCAAACTCCAGCTTCTATTTTTGCTGAGTAAAAGTATCCATTATCTTTCACATTGAATTCTTAGATTTGGAGTTGGAAATTATTTCCTTGATGCTTTGAAAAGACAGAAAGAATTCTATACTTTGAGTGCCACTTGGCTATAGAAAATGCTATAGTATGGATAAATCCCTGCTGAGGATATTATAATTTGAATAGCTAGCATGCCATGGCATTCAGATGATGAAACTAGAAATCAAAAATCTTTGGGGTAAAGAAACGTGCCCTCTTTTCTCCAGATTTATCCTGAATTATTATACGAGTTTGAGAAAGTAACCACTCTGTTCTTTTCTTTTATTTTTGCAAGAGATATTCCTTCTCCCTTAAGGCCCAGGAAAAATGTTAGAAAAAAAAAATCTCCCTGGCAAAATACCAAATAATGAGGGTAAAGAAAGTAAGAGTAAGGGAATGATAACGAACGAGAGAGAGAGAGAGAGAGAGAGAGAGAGAAAGTCTACATTTTGCAAGGTTTGTACTAGAAGCACTGTTTGATAGCAGCATGTTCTACAACTGTTTTCCTTGGAAACAGTATTAATTGACTTGCAGAGAGTCACTCATTTTGTTGAATCAATTTGTAATGCAAATTTAAAAGTTTCTTATTCAAAACCGGGACTGCCTAAGAGAAACTTAACCAGCACCTAACATCTACTTAGTTCAATAGCTCCAGTAACATGCTATGTCTCTTTCCTCTCTTAAAACAAATCCCAAACAACAAATAATTGGACAACAAATAATTCTTTAAATTTTTTTTTACCATAACTCTAGCGCCTCTATTTTGGAATTTTGCTATTCATCCTTTTCAACAAGTTTCTTATTAGTAAAGAAGTTCAAAATAAACTCACTATTTTGATATATACCAGAACACTGTATTCAGAGTGCTGATGCTGTGATTTTAGATCACAGTGTACCCAGCTTCCAGGGATTTTCCCATTATGTCCTGTCACACTGTCTACTTTTAAAAACATCAGTGAAATTTAAGGTACTAAATAATTCTTTTTTTTTTTTTTTTCCTTTTTGTCTTTTTTCGTGACCGGCAACGGATTGCAACCCTCAGTGTTGCGCCCGCACCGGACCGGGACTGGCAACGGGATCGCAACCCTCAGTGCTGCGCCCGCACCTCGCTCAGCCAGTGAGTGGGAACCGGTCTGTATGTGGGATCCAAACCCTCGGCGGGAGCGCCGCTGCGCTCCCAAGCGGCGCACTGTAGCAGTGCGCCACCGGGCCGGCCCGGTACTAAATAATTCTAATAAGGCAGTTTGAAGGTATATATTACATTGGGAAAGGTAGAAAAAATATTCAAATAAGATCACCAGCACCATATACTGAGCCCAACTCAAGTGGTGTGAACAGGTGAGCATTACCACTCGACAGAAAGCACCTGCTACAATCAGTATTAAATGAATCAACAAGGAGAAGCAGAGCACTTCTCAAACTCAAGAAGACCATGAGATGGTCCAGAGCAAGATTCTCCTTTTAGAAGACCTAAAAAGGCTGAGCAATCAGGCTAGGGCATGGTTTCCAGCCTTATGGTTTGCATGCAGAAAGCTTGCAATATTCACGTAATTTTTCCTGATAAATGAGAATGGATTTAAAAAAGAACATTGGCCTTCTGGTAAAAAATTTTGAGGTTTTTAAAAATCTTGATATATTTTATGATAGCTTCCGTCCTCTATGAGAAATACCAGAATGTGGGCACAAGTGTCCCACCCTGCAAACAGACCAATGGCAGCTCTAAGATAAAACCCTCATGAATTTTAATTTTTTAAAGTAACTCTTCACATGTCAAAGCATAGAGTCCCTTAGTTTTGAAAACCAAATAACGGCCAAAATAGGAATATATTTTAAAAACTCTTCTTTGTTATTATCAATTTTGAAATTCTACATAAAGTTTTGACTTCTGTGATGTGCTCCAGCCTGTTGAAGTAATGGCTGTCTTACTGGTCTGCCTGATTACCTAAAATTATCAACTTGACATCATACTGACCTTGTTAGCACTGTTAAAAAAATCATTTGTCTTTTTCAACCAGGTTTTCCTTTCCACCATGAGTTGGCCAAATTCTTCTTGAAGCTGATTCAGTTTCTGGCTGGAAATCTGTAGGTGTTCTTTCTCCACATAGTCCTTTGACAGCAGAATCCCCACTGCCTCACTCTTCAGCTTCTCGACAGCAGAATTCCATTCCTACAAGAGATCACTCCCTTTAGTTTATTTTACACATCTCCCCTGTTATGGGCTATTTGTCTCTGCCCCCCCCCCCCATTCATATATATATGTCTAATCCACAATGTGATGGTATTAGGAGGTGGGGCCTCTGGGAGGTGAGTAGGTCGTGAGGGTGGAGCCCTCATGAATGGGATTAGTGTCCTTGTAAGAAAAAGTCTGAGAGAGCTGCCTTGCCCCTTCCACCATATGAAGATACAAAGAGAAGTTAGCAGTCTGCACTCCAGAAGAGGGCCCTCACCACAATCCCACCATGCTGGCACCCTGATCTTGGACTCCCAGCCTCCAGAACAGTGGAAATAAATTTCTGTTGTCTATAAGCCACCCAGTCTGTTACTTTTGTAACCAAGTGACCAACTTAAACCAGGTCTGTTGTTTAAGCATGGTTTAAGCTTTCTTGCAGATAAAGCCGAACCAACATTTGCAAGTAATGCAGCCCAGGCATGTGCCGTAGAAAAAGATTTGACCCCCAAATAACATTTGGAACCAAAGATCCTCCCCACGGAAACAAGGAGGCCAGGAAATGACTGAAACCTGAAGCACCAGAGACCTTTCAGAAGGGAGGGATCCACTGCTCAGGCAGTTCTGGTTTTGAAGCCCACCACTCCATACCTTACCGTAAATGGTCAAACTTAAAGCCCATCCAATCAAAACCTACCCTGCCAGCACTTCCACATACCAACTTGCCTCCTAACCAATAAAAGTTTGCCCTAACTTCAGATCAGGGAGACAGATCTGAGCTTGCCTCCTGTCTCCTTGCTAGCCAGCCAACCAATAAAGCTCACTCTTCTCATGAAAGCTGGTGTCTCAGAGTTAGGCTTTCTGTGCATATCAGGCAGCAAGCCCACTGCTTGGTAACACTTTGTTATAGCAGCTCAAACTGACTAAGACATCCCCTCACCTTTGTAATCTCTGATATGATTCAGAGAACATTTAGATGTATTGAATGTAGCAGAAATCTGTCATATTTTCAAATCATGAAAGTATAGCAAATACTGTAGTCATAAATGCTGCACTACAGGTTTGAGTACCAAGACATAGAAACAATTAAAAAGGATGCAGAAAAGAGGCTAAAAAGGGAGAGAAGATGACAGTAGAAAGAGGCAGGGAGTTGGGATGAGTGACTGATGGGGCATCCAGCTGCCTGGAATACAGTTCACTTTCACTTCTGTTAACTCTACCTGAAAACATACCACAAATACAGTCGACAGCATTTTTAAACCGTTAACTCATTTTGCCCTATCTTTATTCATTTAAGTATAAAAAGTATCTCTCCCACAATTCAGTCTCTCTGTCAATGTGGGCAAATGTGCACAAGAAAAGAAGAGAAATCATATATTTTATGGCTGTTGTTTTTGTGACTGCCTACATTTAGAACTGAAATTAAGATCTGTTATTCATCACAAAATTAATAGCTGTTATTGTGCAGTAGTTCATTTTTCCCGACCTCAGTTTTGCCTCTCAATGCTTCACTCTGAACGATATATAAACATTTCAGAAAAAGAAAAGGATAGCTTTTTACTTAATGTTGCACGGGGATGCAAAAACAGTAAGTAGAGAATAAAGAAAATAGGAGTTGGAGTAAACCAAACCTATTAACGTTCGATTTACTTGTACGGAAATTTGAGTTTCTTGCAAGAGGACTGAAACCAGATGCAGTGATTATCTCTAACATGGCAGTCTTGTCAGTGAATTTTCTGGCACCCATCTCATCTGAGACTGAGTGGTAAGCATAGGATATTTGTTACAGCATGAGAAATTTAGCACCAGATTTTAAAAATCTCAGTCTGACTTTATCCCCGCTTGTTCCCCCAGTGCAAAATGTCTTATTATTAAGTTACATTTGTTATATTACATTGTATAAAATAAGTATAATTTCAGCACAATTTACCATTACTGTTTTCATTCATTTAACAGGACATACTAAGTACTATGTACCTGGCACTATGCTAGGAGAGATGTCTTGAAGAACATAAAGAAGGGGTAAATTGTAGTTCTTTCCTTTAGCAATATATACATTACTATTGTATGTAATATTCATATATACTTACATTATAAAATATATGAAATATATGCTGGCCCTATAAACACACATTCACACTCACACTCAGTAAGGTAGTATTTTAACTAATAGCAGGTGTTGAAGGTAGAAATTACACATATTATTTTGTTGTGTTCATAGAACTTGTTCTAGTATTTGTGCAAGAGAAAAATATTTTGGTCAATGGATACAAGAATAAGGAAGGTAGATTAAGGGATTGGCATTTTTTGGAGCACCTATTATAAAACTGTGGTTTGTACCTATAATCCTCAAAAATTCTTAGATTAGATATTATTATTTTTTCCTGTATTTACATAGGCTCAGAAGAGTATGCTACTCAAGGTCACATATGCAATAAGTGGCAGTACCAGGACTAGTTCACAGGTCTGTATATCACGAGAGAGACTCCAAAATCTCCAAAAGCAATACTCGTAAGCAAGGACATGGGTATGTGAGTTCTCAAGATCCTTCATTTTTTAAAGAGCTATTGTGTCCCCACTTATGGAAAACTAATATGTGCCACACGCTCGTTTGTAGAGCCCTGTAAATATTGCTTCCACTTAAAAACCATTACTTTCACCTATTGAGAATGAGCAAATATTTTTAAAGCAGTTAGCACAATTTCTGGCACACCCAATATGCATTCACTAAATGTTAGTCCCACTTCTTATCAGTTTTATTGTCATTTATTAGCACCCCCAAATTTGCTCTTTATTTATGGGTATTCCTTTCTCCTAGTTCTAAAATAATAATAGTGGAATGTTTCCTAAAATGTTATTGATCATTGTTATGTATTGATCAGTATTATGAGATAAAGTAAAGCAGATTTCTTTACTGTAGTACCTCTCAGAATCTTTCATATGTTAATATGCACTGAGACTCTCCTAGAGGGAAATGTGTGAAATATTTTGGACAAATTTTCTTGACCAAGAAACCATTTGTTTGCTAATCATCTCAGGGGACCAATGCTCTAGTGGGAACAATGTTGGGAAACTCTGTTCTGTGGCTCAAAGCAGCTGAATAACTTACTAGATTCACCTGCTTTCACAAGTGCTTCTGTTTCTTTCCTTCTTTGTTTCCTTACCCCTCCAACTACTCAATAGTCCCGTTCCTCTCTTTGTACCATATTTTCTTCTTTCTGTTAAGGTCTGAGTGTCATTAATCCTTGATGAACTCAGAGGAAGAAATGCTTAATACATGAAGCCAAGGAATAAGTAGGTAATTCTTTCAGAAAATTTGGCATTGACCTGAACCTTCTGTGCTCATTAGGGGAAGATCACTTAGCAAATATGAAGAACCTGAGAAAGGCCTAGAGAGCTAGGGGGAAGGAAAATGCAGAGGTTAGGATATGGAGAAATGGGTTATTGTGTGCTCAGATAACAACACGAAGCTCTAGGGTGTTGTCTTAACTGTCTGCTAAATAGGAAGTGTTGGTTTTTCTTTCTGTATGTTAGCACTGTGCCAAATGCTTTACGTGTATCATCTCATTTAATCTTCACTACACCCCAATGAGGAAGGAACTCTTATTATCTTCATTTTATTAGTGGGGTAACTGGGCTCAGAGAGATTATGAACTTGCCCAAGGTCCCAACACCAGTAAGTGAAAGAACCAAAATTAAAACTCAGGCAGTTTGACTCCGCAATCTAATCTCTTACCCAGTACCCCACCCCCAGCTCTTCTTGGGGGTGATATACTGTTTTTCCCATTGCAGAAAGATTAATCATATTAGTTTTGCTGAGGTAGAACTTCCATAGGGCGCAGATAAGGCTTGGAGATGGTAACTGTCTTACATGACCCTGAGATTTTCTGATTTAGAATCAGAAGCTTCACCACTTCAAAATAAACACAATTGTCTTACAGATACTATTATAATAGAACATTTACAGCTCAAACTCAGGCTTAGTTTTGCTTAGCAACTGAACCAAAATAATAAAGCTGTTGTCTATGAATCAGAAGAGAAGTACCTGTTCTTTAACAAAGTTCATAAATCTGCCTTTAGTATAAATTTTGCAAGCAACATTCAAGGGAGACTTTTGGAGTAGAGTCAAGTCTTTGAAAATCTACTTTAACCTTGTGCTTCGCATCATGCTATGAAAAGTGGGCTGTGACCTTCCAAAGAAACTGTAAAGAACCATTTTATGCCTCTCATCTTTTTTCATTCTCCATCCCCAGTCTTTTTAATTACATTTTCACATGAACTCTGTAGGTAGTAAATGAATCTGGGTCCATTCAATATTTCTATTCAATCTTCTCAGAAAATTGGTTCTGTTTTTGTTGGGCAATCTACAGGCAGTTTCTGATGCATTTCTATACCATTCTGATGATATATTTCCCCCGCCACTTTTCTTAGGGGATGCTTCCACTATTTTATTTTTAAGGTAAAACTTGCCACAGACATCTGAATCCATCACACTATTTAAAAAATGCAGTTGTCATCCTTGTCAAGGCTGGAGGAACCCAGTGGAGAAAATCTTGGTCCGTTTTCTCTAAGCCTTTGCTGCCTACCTGCTAAGTGTTAAACTTCTAACAGCGTTTCGGTCACTTTGCAATAAAATATTTCCAGTACCTGTACCCACCAGCAGAAAGCCAAAGCCTGCCACTTCCTTGGCTTTTCAATTATACAGAGATGCGTGCATATCTCTGACCCCATAAAGACGTGCCGTGCTGTGTGTTCCTGGGCTTGGGGTGTCTCCATGGGTCACTCCATTATTTTCATTTTTCACTCACAGTGGTAACCCTTTTAAACTGTACATTTCAGTATTCCATTTGCTGAGGAAATTGAGCTTCTCTTGGATCCCTTGATTGAAAGGGTGCTTTTAAGAGGATTAGTGCTGATAGACAAGAAGGCAAAAAGAGTTTTGTTTTTTTTTTTTACAGTCCCAGGTTAGCTCTGAAAATGAAGTTATGGATTGGCATAAA